TGTCTCTTTTGAATAGTGTGTAGATGTGGTTTATTTCTATGTGTCAATAGATGGCTGATGTGTCTGAATGCCAAGCTTCCAGAATTCCCTAGTGTTTTTGAATTTAGTTTGGTCTCATTTCAGTTTCATCCTTATTGGGAATCATCAAATATACATAGCTAGGTCTTATTCTATGGAGATTAATCATAGAATAAGATCTGGCTATGTATGTCTGACGATTCCCAATAAGGATAAAACCAGTCATGTACTGCCTCCTGGCACTTACTATAACTGGAAACACCATACAGGATGTAGGCTGTATGAAAATAGAGAAACCTCCCCCCCCCCCATACATGGGGCATGACATACTATAACATCTGTATATTTCTGCCTGAGAACTTAAGGGAAGGTGGACTGTATACCTCATTCTGATAGATTTGATAATAGGTGGTATATTCAGCAAAATAAGTGAAGTAAAGTAAAGTAGGAAAATAATAAAATAAATACAAAAAATAATAAAATAAATAAAATAAAATAAAATAAAATAAAATAAAATAAAATAAAATAAAATAAAATAAAATAAAATAGCTTGTCAGTCTCCGGATGGCCACAGAGTGGCAACAAAAAGCTAAACTTTGATGTACGTCTTTGCTCTGCCCTCTGGTGATCATCCAGATTCTTGCACTCCAGTTTTGATACCTCTAGCTCAATGGGGAAGAAGGATAATGTGAATATGCACCATTTTGTGAATAGCAAGAGATGGGGTTGGAGCGTTAAGGAATATGATATCTGGCAGTTAAAGCACAGCCTCTTTCACTGATTTATGGTCAATCCTATTGTGCAAGGTCAGAAGGTGGGCAAATACAATAACTGGGGAGAAGGTCAGAGTGGGCCTGGAGCCATCTTATCTTTTGTTCAGCCCATGGCAGAAGCACACTTCTAAGGCAGTCAGAGAGAGGAAAACTTCAGGCTTGTAGCCTTTTTAAAAAAGTCCTCTTTAGACAAAGCAAGGGCAAACCAACTGAATAGCAAAAATCCCTTTGTTTCCGATGACAAAATAACATGGAATGTCAACAGGGTGCCAAGATGAAAATAGAAATAGGTAGAGCTAATGCGCCGACATTGCTATGAAAGCAAGCAGGACCACAGAAAGGTGACCTAAATTAAGTCACAGCCCGTTCCCATCATAATTTGGGGGTCTCTTAGAGGCAGGGGCCCATCTTTTGTATTTTTCAATTTATTTAGAACTAAATATGGTCTGTGACTAGCAAGTGGTCTGTTCCCTTTTTATTTCTGATGTTGGAGGAGAGATTAACTTTAGCAATTAGTGATATGCCATGGAGTTGATAGTGTAGCTGAGGATATTATTATTATGAATTATTGTTCCATTGCCTATGTTACCAATGTCATCATAACTGTCATTTCCTCCTATTATTGTAAGCAGAAAAGGTTTAATCTTACCCTCCCCACTGGTTCCACTAGGTATATTCTCCCATCCATTCATAATCAGATGAATGCTCTCAATTAGTTTTAACCCTGGTTAGGCTTTTTGTAGTTCAGTGTGATTAGCTTCCTATTTAATGTGTGGTGTGAGCTGAGAAATTTGACAAACTACATCTAAAGCTAAAAGTAAAGCTAAAACTATATTTTACTGTTTGGAATGGTTGTATTCTTCCAGATATTTCGGGGGTTTTATCTCAATTTTATTACTGTTTTAATTGTACAATATCCAGAGTCACCAGGGAGTTGGATGGCCTTATAAACTAAAATTGAAACTGAAACTGAAACTAAAACTAAGCAAAGTTTAATAAGTTATATAAATGCAACAAATGACCCCATTGGTCTAATGCAGTGTTTCTCAACCTTGGGCACTTTAAAGTGTGTAGACTTCTACTCCCAGGATTCCCCAGTGTTGGCTGGGGAATTCTGGAAGTTGAAGTCCACACATCTTAAATATGCCAAGATTGAGAAACACTGGTCTAATGTATCCTTTCCCTGGATTGAACCTGTTTTTCTGCACAGTGAATGGCTGGAAAACTTGGAGAATGGAATCGACAATTGGAATAGGTGGAAATGAGGCTCCTGCAATGGTCAGTGCTGTTTCTCTTATGTGAAGATCAGGCCAAGCGTGTAACAGTGTGTTTCTGTCCACTTTGTCCTATGGCATGTCAAGAGAAACGCCTTTAAGTTAAAGTTGAACTCAGTGGGAATGAGACACTTAAGTGATGTGTGTGGTGAAACAAGAAGAGGCAGGGTTAAGAATGAATGGGTGTTGAATGAAGGTGGACCAGCAATGCCAACTAAGGGGTTCAAAGAGATCGGAGATCAGATGGAATCAGCACTGCACTGCTGTGGTACAGGTTTTGCCTCTTCTGTAGGTGCATCATGACAATACATGCTTATCCAAAAGCGGAAAAAGCTTGTGACGGGATGGCGCAGCACTCCTTTCATCATTTCAATGAACCAGGAGGAACCTCCTGAAATCTAGGATGTGGACTGAATACCAAAGTGAGTAGCTCGTATGAAAGAAGTACACTGACATAGTTTGATGAATGAATGAGAATTTAATGACTAAACAAATCTATGGGTGGGGAGGAAAGGGAGCACTAAGAAAGTTATGTGTGTGTACAT